ATTTTTTTTAAACATACTCTAGTGAGCAGCACACAGCAACAGATCTTGCCAACTTCTTTATTTTCTCCGACCGGTTTCGTCTGATGGCACAGACTTCGTCAGGGAGTTTGAACAAGATAGTGAAGGAACTTGTTTCATACCTAATCATTGTAGTACAAATCACGTTCCAATAAGGGTGTGAACAGCGAAAAAACACCCTAAAAACATTACGTGCAGGATATGACTAAAATCCTGCGTGACGCTAAAAATGTGCAATGTTTAATTTCAGAATGAGAATGTTTACTTTTGGGGCTCACGGATTTAACGTTCAAAAATGTGGTCGCCATTCTACATCACTCCAAGGACAAAAACACGTGGAGCAAAAAAATTTTTTGGGATCACTTTCTGAAAGTGCTTAGAAACAGGCTCAACTCAACAGCCAAGCCTACTTGCCCAGGCCTTTGCGTGACCTTTTTCGTTTTGGATGGTTTTTTGGGCGGTTGTGGGTGGTTTTGGGTGGTTTTTGAGTGGTTGTGGGTGGTTTCGGATGGTTTTGGATGGTTTTGGGTGGTTTTGGGTGGTTCCATGTTTTAGTAACTACCCTCCAAAGCCTTCGATACGATCTGTTTCAGAATTGTTATCACCAAGATGAGTAAACTAGGTTTCTCTAGAGACTTCCTGATATGGACACTCAATTATGTTGCGCATTGTAAACAATTCGCACAGATCAATGACACGTGCTTAGAGGTTAAAGACGTGAATTTTGGGGTTCGCCAGGCTCCATCTTGAGTCCGGTTCTATCACAGGTAAGGCCCAGGCTCACTGTTTGTGTCACGTACACATGTTTAAATAAAGAGAACATCTGGGCGCAGTTTAGGTCTGGAAATTTACTTGAAAATGGAAATAAAAATCAATGAAACGTACCATGTGGCGATTTGTTGTTGTCCTTAATATGTACACGAAGTTTCGGGAAAAATACTAGGAAAGGTGAATTAGAGTATTTTTCCCGAAACTTCGTGTCCATATTAAGGACAACAACAAATCGCCACACGGTTAGTTTCATTGATTTTTATTTCCATTTTCAAGCAAATTTCCAGACCTAAACTTCGCCCCATATGTTCTCTATATTTAATCATGTGTACGTGACACAAACAGTGAGCCTGGGTGACCTGCGAGTACATCATCTCGACAAGTAGGATCCTAACATGACGCAGTAGATGGTTATAAACTAGAACGTATTAAATCTTGTGAACCCATTGGAGTTCACATCAATGAACATCTAAAGTGGAACAATAACATCAGGCAAACTGTATCTGGACGCAGTACGCCACTCTGTCAACTGATACTAGGAGAACTGAAATATCTTGCCAACTATGAACTAAGCTAAGAAAGCAACTAGCAGAATCTTTGATTTTGTCAAAACTAGATTATACCGGTCGGTTTTTTACCCTTTACCACAATTCTTACTTCACCGTTTGCAACGAGTTCAATTTGCTGCCGCAAGTTTTGTACTCGGTCACCATGTTAAGAATTTCTTCCAATCAACGAGAGAAGAGATTCGAACCTTCGGCAATCATGCTTTAAAGCTTTGCATAACTCTGAGACTTGGCCAGATTATCTTAAAATAATAAAACGGGAATACCGCAAGGAACTACGCTCAAGCAAGTCAATTCGATTAGTGGTTCCGACCGAAAACGGCACTTTCCAAGATAATCGTTGAAGCTTTTTAACAATCTACCAGAAACTATAAGAAACTGTAAAGATTACTGAACCTTTTTAAAACTTTCAAGGAATTTTTTATATAACAGAGTACAGAGTGGTTAGTTAGTTTTACTGTAATCTCGATTCTGTTAATCTAACTCCTACTTTTAATTGTATATTGCGTAATTTGTTAATAACTTTATTTTGATTTATTTTTAATCATAATTGATGTACTTTAGATGATGTACTTTTAGGGAAGAGCCACCCAGTAAATCTGTTAATAAACCCTTATCATTACAATAATAATAATAATAATAATCATCATCATCACCATCATCATCATCATCATTATTATTATTATTACTAAAACTCCTACATTTTCATCATTATTATTATTATTATTAAAACCCCTACGTTGTGATTTAGTTTTATTTCCACCTCTGATGTTTATTCCATCAATGTTTTCCATTCGATCATAAGCATGTGAAACATGAGGAAATCGAAATACTTCTTAGAGAAATCCGAGGCTCTTAAAAGGTCAACTTCATGAACTACACAACAGCATCTTATTTTAAAGCCCTTAATTTGTACTCACTCATACAACTGTAATTAACAGTATAAAAGTTATGAAAAGACTTCTTGCTTGGGGAATTTCAAACATGGAATGCTAGACAAGTCCTGAGTGGCTGTAGGTGATGGAGGTTGTTTTGGGTGTTGATTAGAACATAACCGTGGCCTAACTTCATGTAGTTTTCGTGTCGTGTCACAGGAACAGTTTTTTCTTAATGCAGTAAATGGTTTGAACCCGGGGGTAACATGTGAAGGTGTAGTCTGATCGTCCGGGTGAGTGTAGTCCTGAGAAGGACTGTTGTCGGTGGCAGTGACTGACGTTTCGACAACCTGTGCGGAAGTCATCATCAGAGTCAAGTGAATGATTGTTGTCAGTAGAATGTTCTTATTCCAGTTCGTGTGAAATGATCGGTTGGTTTTGCCGTGATGTTATTGGCTGTAAGACTCAAGTGACGTAAGTCGGTCGTGATTGGTCTGTTTGAATAAATGAATAAAGGCTGATAGTTTCGAAAGAAACTGTTTGGGGCTGCGTCGGTGGGAGTAACGAAATAATTTGGATATATCAACAAAGTTGAAATGGTAAATTGGCCACCGTAATGATTACAAAAGCTGACGTTTCGAGCGTTAGCCCTTCGTCGGAGCTAACGCTCGAAACGTCAGCTTTTGTAATCATTACGGTGGCAATTTACCATTTCAACTTTGTTGATATATCCAAATTATTTCGTTATTCCCACCGACGCAGCCCCAAACAGTTTCTTTCGAAACTTTCAGCCTTTATTCATTTACTTTACTTGAGTAAGGAACTCTTATTTTTTGTCTCTCTAGGAAACAGTAACAATATTTGAAGGGGAAGTTCGTCACATCCTACAGTTAAGGGAAGTATCTCTAGGCTTTCCAGAGGCAGGTGTTAGCCCCAAGAAATTCTAGAGTTTTGTAAAAAGATCAGAATGTTTTCTTCATACAAAATATGGGTCGATTACTACTCAATCTCTTTAATTTGTCGATAAATAGCAGTTCTTTAAAAAAATATCAGGTAAAATTGTTTCGATAGCACATTTTATGCCTACGACTGCACAGAAGCTACCAACCGGTTTGAAGGACATGTTTGGTTGCCGCAATGTAAGTCCTGAATCGTTGTTTGAAGATCCATAACTGTAGTTTCAAAGCGTATTTCTTTGGATCCTTGTAGAACTTTGCCAGGTAAGGATTCTTCGCGGAGGGTTCCAAAAAGACGCGATAGTTAAGCTTCCTGGCTAATTGACACGAAAGAGTTGATTTGCCAACCCCGATGTTTCCTTCCACAATAACAAGTTGTGGTTTACATGTCGCTGTGTTACTTTCCTTCGACCTCAGTCCAATCATTGCAGCGGTTAAAGTTGAATTTGACGGGGAAAACTTGCCGTGCTGATAACTGCTGTGTAAACGAAAATAACGCCATAACACCATGGGAGATTGAAACATCACAGTCAACTCTTCAAACTAAAATCGTCGATTTAAACCATCGCTGGCTTGATTTTGAAAAGCGCGCCCGTATAGATTCCATGCACTTATGCGATATAATTTGAATTTCGTTTGATTCACAATCATCCATTAAATCCACAACCAGTTTCCTTCCTTTAGTAGCATTTGAATTCGGTGCTGCAGTGTTTTACCGAAAGAGACTGGATAAAAAATGTAAGATTTTATACTCACCTTTTTACTGGCGCTCTTCTCGTTCGAAAATAATTCCCGCCAACAATTCCCTCCCAAGAGACTCTGCGAGGTGAAAAAGCGCGCAGAATTTGAGAAGTGCGCCTGCACACGTCAGTTAGGTGAGCTAGCTGGAGACAGCTGACGGTGAAGCCATTGTGGGAGAAGTTTGCAGAGAAACGTCGCTAAAATAGTCAATAATTATCACGGTAGGTTTCACTAATATAACAACCATTTGCTTCAATTTATCTTTGATTATGCTTAAGGGAGGGATGCCCATTAAAGGGCTGTAATAAGCATGAGCGTGCCGAGAGCGAAGCGCTACATTTGTTTGTTAGTCCTATTAGTAACTTGCACAACCTTTTCCGATTAAAAGTTTATTTTTTTTGTGTCTGTTAGTTTCATTACATTTTTAAGCAAGAGTTCCATATAACCCCGACATTAATTATGCATTCAGTCTTAGTTCAAACGGTCATGATAGAATGTCACGTAGTTCATTCTTACTCATCCCCTGTTGGGCCCAGTTATTCGAAGGCCGATTAGCACTAACCCAGAGTTAAATTTGAATCCAGGTTTCATCATTTCTCTGTTCAAAAGCCTTTTTGGGAAAATTTAGGGCAAGATTTCCGTATAACCCCATACTTCATTATGCATTATGCATTCAAAGCAAAGCGGAGGCAAAACAGCAGATTTCCTTTGGGACTACGGCTTTGTTTTTGATTGGTATGGGGTTATACGGAAGTCTTTCCAAATTTTCTCTTTTATTTTTAGAACATCCAATCATCAACTTGTAGACAAAAAGATTTAAAGTGAATTTTTCTTTTTAAGCTGTCAGATATGACATGAAATTTCACACTAACCTTGGGTTATCATAACCCAGCTGTGAACAACCAAGCCCTGGTTAATTTGGCTTAAGTATCTTCAACTTGCAATGTCTCGACCAAAATTTCAAATGACACGTGGGATTTATTGGGTGGACTATTCACGTGGTTCGCATATGTTCTGTTCTAGTCCTACCCTACTCCGGTAATGCAGTGAAAAAATGGTTAGAAATTGCTAACCTCTGTGCTTGCCATATCTGTTTACAATCACGAGATCTTATCACGTGCTTTTGTCAAATATCATCAAGGATCATAAACTGTTTAAATGCAAACATGACATTCAATGACAGTGAAGGAAAGTTGAAACTATCTGTTTGAGCAGGACTTTTGATAGTTCTCATTTTATTATTTGTTGAAACAATGGCAAAGTGAGAATTAAATGGAATAAGACAAATTTGATTTAAACAAAGTTTGCAACACAAGGGTGACAAAATGGAGGTCTTTAATCCTAATTGTAATTCCATTCAATTGCAAGCTGCTGCTGTTTACTTGAACTTGATTTCAGTGTTAAACAAAACTTTTTTGGCTCACAACAGTTTTGTAGTAGTGCAACTCTTTGTGTAATTAACAATCAATTNGTTCAAACGGTCATGATAGAATGTCACGTAGTTCATTCTTACTCATCCCCTGTTGGGCCCAGTTATTCGAAGGCCGATTAGCACTAACCCAGAGTTAAATTTGAATCCAGGTTTCATCATTTCTCTGTTCAAAAGCCTTTTTGGGAAAATTTATGGCAAGATTTCCGTATAACCCCATACTTCATTATGCATTATGCATTCAAAGCAAAGCGGAGGCAAAACAGCAGATTTCCTTTGGGACTACGGCTTTGTTTTTGATTGGTATGGGGTTATACGGAAGTCTTTCCAAATTTTCTCTTTTATTTTTAGAACATCCAATCATCAACTTGTAGACAAAAAGATTTAAAGTGAATTTTTCTTTTTAAGCTGTCAGATATGACATGAAATTTCACACTAACCTTGGGTTATCATAACCCAGCTGTGAACAACCAAGCCCTGGTTAATTTGGCTTAAGTATCTTCAACTTGCAATGTCTCGACCAAAATTTCAAATGACACGTGGGATTTATTGGGTGGACTATTCACGTGGTTCGCATATGTTCTGTTCTAGTCCTACCCTACTCCGGTAATGCAGTGAAAAAATGGTTAGAAATTGCTAACCTCTGTGCTTGCCATATCTGTTTACAATCACGAGATCTTATCACGTGCTTTTGTCAAATATCATCAAGGATCATAAACTGTTTAAATGCAAACATGACATTCAATGACAGTGAAGGAAAGTTGAAACTATCTGTTTGAGCAGGACTTTTGATAGTTCTCATTTTATTATTTGTTGAAACAATGGCAAAGTGAGAATTAAATGGAATAAGAGAAATTTGATTTAAACAAAGTTTGCAACACAAGGGTGACAAAATGGAGGTCTTTAATCCTAATTGTAATTCCATTCAATTGCAAGCTGCTGCTGTTTACTTGAACTTGATTTCAGTGTTAAACAAAACTTTTTTGGCTCACAACAGTTTTGTAGTAGTGCAACTCTTTGTGTAATTAACAATCAATTCTGAACTTTAGCTTTCCCTTTCTTCAGTTTCCCTTCCCTGGTTCGATAAAGGGGAATTAGTTGCGGTAGTCTCAGTGGATCTTTCTAAGGCTTTCGATGTTATTCAACACTATCTACTTTTAGCAAAACTCAAAGCTGATGGTGTGGGAGAGAGAAGTTTAGCACTCTTCAAGGATTATTTTTCGGGGAGACAGCAGAGAGTTGAGATTGGGGACACCTTTTCCAGTTGGAAAGATGTTAAAAGAGGAGTTCCGCAAGGGAGTGTTTTAATATATTCATCAACGACTTGTTTTACTCGGTTACGCAAGGTAAATTTCATGCATGTGCGGACGATCATCAGTTATACTGTTCTGATGTCGACCCAGTAGCTCTAGAGAACTGTATTTGTCGTGAAGTGTGAGTTGCAAATAAGTGGTATCGCAGCAATGGAATGATTGTAAATGAGACAAAACACCAGGCTATAGTCTTGGGAAAAACGGGCCACTCCTTCTCTTTTCCATTAATAGATTCTTTGGATATATTTGGAATAAATATTGACAATAGGTTGCGTTTTGATAATTATATATCAACTATTTGTAAGAAGATAAATGGCCAGTTCAATGTAATGCTAAGATTTCGTAAACTTATCTCTAAAGATACTCTACTAAGATTGTATAAGGCTTTTATTATGCCACATTTTAACTATTGTTCGTCTGTATGGCACTTTTGTGGTGCGCGTAGTACTGAGAAGATAGATGCTTTAAACAAGTGAATTCTTAGAGTTATCTTGCAGGATTATAATTCTCCCTATGACTCTCTACTTAGCAAAGTTAACTCCAAATCTCTGTATAAAAGACGCCTTCAGACTTTCTTAATTATATTGTACAAGAGCTTGTTTTTTAACTGCTATCCAGGCTATCTAAAGAATATGTTTAGTTTCCGGTCTGTATCCTATTATCTACGCGGAAATTATATTTTGTCTCTACCGTCTACAAAAACTACTACTTATGGTCTTCACTCCTTTTCATATATGGCTTCAAAACTATGGAACTCTCTTCCGGACTCTTTTAGAACATCTGACTTTTCTGATTTCAAGCGCAAGATTCTACAGTATGACTCTTTCTCATAGTTAAATTTTAGAATGTTACAATTTTACATTTTACATTTTACATTTTAGTAGTATTTAGAATTATACTTGTAACTCGAAGATACTAGCTTATTCTTTAGCTACTCCAAATTCAAGATTAAATAAAGTATATGTATTTATGTATGTATGTATGTTCATAGCACTGGGACACATACAAAGTGCTACACCCAGCTATAAAGCAAATTGTCAAGAGGTGGGGGAAAGGAGGGAATTTTTCGTAAATGTCCGTTTTATGCATGAATTTGGGCATATCTGTATGTATTTTGATAACCAACGAGGTAGGAAAATTTCAAGAAAAGTTATCCTACAGTTGAATCAAACAGTTAAGATCCTTTAAAGCTAAATGCTATTGATCATCCTCAAAGGTGTTTTTCTTGGAATGGTTCAACCAATCTCATTGATAGTCACTTTGCATGCCTGTGGGCAATATATATGGACCAAAGCAAGAGTTGTACATAACAATAAGTTCCTTCCTAGAGACTTGTAACCTCTGTTCTACCCTAGCCTACTCTGCAATTATTTTAGCTTGCTGAATAAAATCATCACGCGAAGGCTGGAAAATAGTATTTAAAGTGCCCATAATGTCAAAAAACGTTTTTCGCTTATCTAATTCTACATTTCACCAAATGAACTTCGGTGAAAAATTTTTTCGACTTGGATAAAACGCGATTTATTTACGAATTTTTACAAAGTTCAAAATTCTATTTTCTTGCGGTCAATCCCTGCCGCTGATCACAAGAATAACGTGCTCAAAATGACCACGTGACTGATGTTTGTGACGTAGGTTCAGGAACCCCACTTGACCTTAAAGTGCATATAAATACACCGGTTGAGTGCGGGTCGTTTATGATATTGTGAGCTTACGATATTGTGACCACTCTGAAGCAAATTTCCACTTATTTTCAAGTCAGATAAGTAACAGCCTAAAATCACGGGTTCCTGAACCTACATCACGACTCACTTTAAACCGAGAAAGACTGGTGTGAATGGTGGACCAAAATGGCGGCAAATTTGAATGTCTTTAAAAACTTATAAAAAAATTGCGTTTTATCCAAATTGAAAATTTTTTTTGCAGAAGTTCATTTGGTGAAATGTAGAATTAGATGAGCGAAAAACATTTTTTGAAATTATGGGCACTTTAATGTTTGTTGATTTATCATGCTATAAAACATTTGCATTACAAAGATTGGGTTGAGTACCTAAGTTAAGGCTTACTCAATCTTGAAACTTTCTTGTGAAATAGAGGGGAAAAAGCACACAGTTTTTCTGTGTTTTATATAACTACTGTTGTGTAGAACCCCAATAACTCGAACTTCCAAGGGAAAGGAAAAAAGGGTTTGAGTTATTGGGATTGGTGTTGAATTGCAGTCATCTTTTTCACAATTAATAAGGAATCATGTTTTTACCATTCCTGCAGAATCAGTGGTCGTCATTGTACATTCAGTTTCTTTTACAAGAGCTTTTTTTTTGAAAGGATGTGTAGTTTGGGAAACATAACTAAATGTGTTATGTTTTCATAAGTGTTGTCATGTTCATAGCCATCATGAGTACAGATTGGGATGTGCTGATTGACTATGTTCTGATGCTTTGTTTGAGCCTGTGAAAAAAAAAAACTAGGTTGAGTTAATTGGGAGTCTGAGTTAACCCAGTTCAAGTTAGCAGGTAGTAAATGGACGGGAAAATGGGGTCAAATCCAAGGAAAATCAGATCTTTGAGTTAGCAGGGGTTTCAAGAATACCGTGCAAGTTAGCAGAGTTCTGTTTTAGTTTTGTTAAGGATTTCTTTTACTTTTTGTGGAGTCTCATTTTCATATTGGGAGAAAAAGATATGAACATGTGAACTTTATTGGTGGATGATATTAATAGTATTATCTGCTTTACTATATTTTATTATATTTACCAAACCTAGCGTTCCTGGATTTTTTTCCAACACATCAAACATGGGTAATTGGAAAGCTATTACACGCTCTAGCTTTTGTTTGGATAAGTGAATATTGTTACTTTTGTCCCTTCTTTGTTCTCATTCATTTTAAGAGATTTTGAACAGAAGTTGATAGATAAATTGTGCTACTTATCAATAACTAAAATTGTGGAAACTTTGAATTTATAATTTCAGCTTGTGTCTAAAGACAGGAAACATTTCTGTGATGAGTGTCGTGAATGGTTGCATGGAGGATGTCTTTTTATATCAATATGTTAAAATTGCTTTGGTAAGTAATTGTTAATCTGTGTAACCATGTACTTAAAAAATTTCTCTAGAGACTCCCCTTTCCAGCAATAGGATAGAAACATTATGGGACTGGTGTAGTTTAAATGAATAAATCCTCGATAGGAATTGTTACAGTGCATTAAATTACATGTGTAGCCATTAAACTTCTTATGACTGTGTTTACCAAAAAAATTGCAATAAAAACTTAATTTGTATTCAGAAAAAGTGTAACAAGAGCGCTGTCTACCTTGAATAACCAAAGGGGTTAACAGAGCCAGACAGGAAAGTCAGTGTCTGATCTAGAATTTCCAGCTAGGCACGAGGCAATGTGTCACAGTCAACAATTTCCAGAGACTTTTCGTTTTTTGGTGAGGACAGTATCCGTTTTTCTTTCCATTGTGCCGGGTGTTATGCTATCAACAACTGCAATGTTTAAGAGTGTATTGAATATACAGTAATTACCAAGAGAAAAAGAAAAATAAGTTTATTCGTGGGAGAGTAACAAATCTGAACCAAATTTTACTTACTTCAATATAGTTTTTCAACTTTCATCTTGAAAATAAAATGCCATGTGCAGAGCTTGTTATTTTATGGATTCTAATGACACCAATCCAGACCTATTATAATAAAGCTCAATTTCATACAATCTTAAGTTTTCCATTCATTGTCCCATATAATAATAATTATGATGATATTCATCATCATTATCATAATAATAATAATAATAATAATAATAACAATATTAATAGTTTGTTAACTTATGTTGTGTAGATATCAGTAGGACATTTTAATTAATCTGTGCATTATAATTTTTAAGAAATCATAAAACTCTACTTGTTGCTATTTGAAATCCTAAGTACAAACTCCACTTAATACTTAATTAAAACTAAAAATTAAAAAGGAAACACTTTCTGAAACAAATATGTTTTTAGAGACTTTTGATATAAAGGGGAAGATCTTTCCATAATTTGGGGGCAGCCATATAAAAAGATGGGTAACCCAATGTAGTTAAAGACTTGCATACAGGAAAGTTCAAACATATGTCATTATTTTGATCTTAAACTATATCTACCACTACTACCTCTAGCAGATATGAGTTCAGAATTGTGATGCAGAGCGAGTTGGTCAGTGGCCTTAAATGTTAGCAATAGAACCTTGAAATCAGTGCAATACTTAACAGGTGACCAATGGATGGATTTTAATTAAAAGAGGTATACCTAATATGATAAAACTTACTCTAAACACAAGACAAGCAGCTGCAACTTTTGAGAATTTAAACAAGCATAATACCTAAATTAAATGAGGCTTACCTGTAAGGTGAAGTGTGATTGGGATTTTGTGAGTCATTGGTTGGGAGCAAAGGAGTCGTGCGAGAAGGTGCACGAGCCTGGGAAGATCAGTCTTTAACAGATGTGAGCACTTACACCCAATGATGGGTGGGTTAATAACACAGGGCTGGACACATGACTCCTTCTCTCCCGACTAATTACTCACAGAATCCCAATCAAACTTTACCTTACAGGTAAGCCTCGTTTAATTTAGGTATTCTGTTTCGTCACTGATTGCTACGGAGTCACGTGAGATTTTAAAGCAGTGTGAGTGTGAACTAAAAAAAGATATCAATGATTTATAGCAATATTAACCTGCTTTAATAACATTCTCTCTTAGCCATCAAAACATACAAATATAAGACACTATCTTAGGTGTCACTACATACAGCTTTAAGGAGCTCACTTCGGAAATTCTCTCGAGGTTCCACTGGTTTGTTGTAAAACGTAGTAAATGTGGACTCCTGAGACCACCCCACACTTTTCATAATTGTGGTGATAGATTTGCTTTTGCTCCAGATGTAGATGCTAATCGAGTGGTGTGTGCACTGTACTTTGAAGTGTCAATACCAGCATCAACCAGTGTAGCCTTAATCCATCTCCTTATTGCATCAGGGGAAACAGCTTTATAAGGCTTAGAGTAACTAATAAGAACCTGCTTTACATTACACTGTACCTCGAAGAGTATCTGTGTGTCTCAGATGTTGCTGAAGATGCTTTACAATACAAAGACTTACATCTGGTGCATAGGCCTGAAACTCAGTACAAGCTAAATGTTTACCCGGTCTTGAAGTTTTTAACAATGAGTCAATGGGAAACACACACTTTTCAGAACTTATTTGCATATAATCAATTGATAATGTGTGCAGAGTCTGGCGACGCTGTCCCGAAAGCAACACCATCAACACAACCACTTTCAAAGTCAAGTTCTTAAAACTAAGTTTCACAGGTGGCCCAAGTTTAGCTAGATAGGCTAATACCACCGTGACATCCCAAGTTTCTTGGTACCTTGGGAGAGAGGGTCTGCACTCAAAAATTCCCTTGAGGAAACGACAGACTAGGGGATGCTGTCCAAAAGTGTAATGCTCCGATGTAAAACAAACATTAGACAAAGCACGCCGTGCAGTGTTGAGGGCACTGTATCCAATCCCTGTGTGGTTTAAAGTTCTGCCAAGAAATTAATCCCATGTTCTATAGCTGCTGAAAAGGGATTAATCTTCCTTTGACAACAGTATTGTTCACATTTATTGATGAATGGTTTATGTTGTTTGGTGCCCTTTCTCCAAGACTGTAGGATGAGTGAGGTAGCTGATTCTGAAAGCCCTCTGCCTTCAAGTTATATCCTGACAAGTGGCATATCAGAAGTGTGAGCTTCTGATGTAGTGGATGCGCCAAGTCTGGCTGTTGAGATAGAAATAAGGTGTGTTTCTTTTTGGGGAGCACA